CTTCGTTTACTGCAGTCAAACCGACAGCGTTTGTGAACTTACCCGTGAATTTACTTCTTCACTTTCCCCTTCAAGTACCAATATTCCTAGCAGTGTTCTTCCCTCTTCCTAGCAATCCCAACCTACTAAACGTGCCACAACACCTGAACCAGTTTCAGTCTTGTTTACAAATATTAGAAGTGTGCTAAGTAAACGTGACGAGTTATCTTCTATAATTGATGACTGTTCTGCGGACATAGTAGTGTTAACAGAAACTTGGTTGTCAAGTAAAATTCGCAACACTGAGGTTTTACACTGCAAAAACACCTACAATTTTTACAGATCAGATCGAATAACAAGAACAGGGGGCGGTGTTCTTATCGCGATATCAGATAGATTTTCCTCTCATATTGTTCCCATAAGTTCGCCACTAGAAATCGTATGCGCGTGCGTTCGATTTGCGTATCAGGACGTGATTTTGTGCGTTTGCTACCGACCGCCTCGCTGCCCCTCAGACTTTTGCGAAAACTTCCATGACTGTTTGCACGCAGTTTCTGTCAGGTACCCAAATTCTCATATATTTGTCATGGGCGATTTTAATTTCCCAGAAGTTACTTGGGGCAGTGGGGATGGAACGGCTAGCTGTCTTTCAGCGGAAGGTAATTGCTTTTTAAACATATGCAATGATTTTAATTTAACCCAAGTAATCCATGAACCCACGCGCATCACAGCATTTTCTTCAAATATACTTGATTTGGTTTTCACAACTAATCCTTCGGTCATTCATCGATTCACTACCTACCCGGGCTTAGTGATCATCGCATTGTACACTTCACCTGCGCAATGCAACCACAGCGTCCTATGCACGCAACTAAAGTTATAAAAGATTATGCGAAAGCTGATTATGCATCTATATGTACTGAGTTGGAAGTTTTCACTGAAAAATACATTGCATGTGCCGCTGATAACACTGTAGAGGAGAACTGGGTATCGTTCAAAAATAAGTTTAATTCACTTATAGATTGTTATGTTCCTTTACGAACTGTTCGAACGGCGTTCCGCTCTCCGTGGTTCACATCAGCACTTCTTCGCTTACGTAATAAAAAAAAACGACTTTACCGCAGCGCTTCATCATCTGACACCACGGAGAGATGGGCGGCTTATCACAACGCAACATTAGAATACAAAAAAGCTTATGCAGTTGCTAAACATAGTTTCTTCAGCGATACCCTTCCCTCTCTTCTACAGTCTAACCCTCGTAAGTTTTGGTGTCTAGTAAATGGTCCAAAAAATAAGAACATTGATCTTTGTGACGAACTTGGTTTGGCGATTGCAAGTGACAGGTGCTGCGAGGCTTTGCAAGACGTATTTAAAAAAATCATTTTCCGTTGACAACTCCAATCATTTACCAATTCAAGCCGATCCTGGATATCCCCGAATGGAACCAATCATCATTGATCAATTGGGGCTATTTCACCTCATATTAAAAATGAAAGCCTCGGCACCTGGCATAGATGGAATCGCTCCCCAATTTCTCAAACAAACTGCCACTTATTGTTCAGTCATTTTTTCACAGCTCTTTTCACAGTCATTACAAAATGCCTCATTGCCCAGTGACTGGAAGGCGGGGAAGGTGGTTCCTGTGCCTAACCAGGTGACTCATCTAATCCTTCTAACTACAGGCCCATCACTTTGACTAGTATTCCATGTAAGCTTCTCGAACACATAATCTATTCTAACTTAATTATATTTCTCGAAGAAAATAACTTCTTTCACAACAGTCAGCATGGTTTTAGGAAACACTACTCATGTGAAACCCAACTACTTCTCTTCACCAACGACTTATTTTCAGCTTCTGACACTGGCTCCATTATCGATTGCATTTTCCTTGATTTTCAAAAAGCTTTTGACACCGTTTCTCACCGTTTACTCCTACTAAAACTAAGCATGCTAAATATTGACTCAAACACATTACGATGGATCGAATGCTTCTTATCTAACAGAACCCAACATGTAACAGCTAACGATCATGACTCACGCAATTGTTCAGTAATCTCTGGTGTGCCGCAAGGTTCTGTCCTTGGACCCTTACTCTTTCTAATTTATATTAATGACCTTCCATCCAGCATTACATCAACAATCAGGCTATTTGCCGACGATTGTGTCATCTACCGCATAATAACTAACTCTCATGATTCATCACTACTTCAATCTGATCTTGACAACATTACATCTTGGTGCTCACTCTGGTCAATGAAACTAAATATTGGCAAGTGCAAAATAATGAGGATCTCTCGAGGAAGTACTGACTGCACTAGCCCTGTTTATTCAATTTCTAATTTTCTGTTGTCGTCTGTCAATACTTACAAATATCTTGGTGTTCACATAGATAACAATTTAACATGGAATAATCATGTCAGTTATGTGATTAACAATGCTAACCGCACTCTCGGCTTCTTGCGCCGTAACTTTTCATTAGCACCTGTTTCATTAAAACTTCTTCTTTATAAAACACTAGTCAGATCTAAACTCGAATACGCCTCATCAATCTGGGATCCTCATTCTTGTTCACTTGTTAATGCACTGGAAGCCATCCAAAATCGCTCAGCTCGCTTCATTGTCGCTAATTACTCCCGTACCGCTAGCATCTCATCAATTAAAAATTCTCTAGACCTTCCTACCCTTTCTAACAGGAGGAAACAGGCCCGACTCTGTCTCTTTCACAAAATTTTTTTTATGAATCCTGAAATAAAGGGCACATTGTTCTCGTCACCTTCTTACGTTTCATCTCGCATCGACCATAACTTCAAAGTCCATGTGCCACTCTGCCATACCAACATATACTTCCACTCCTACGTGCCGAAGACTTCATCCGAATGGAACCACCTTCCTGCCTCCATCGCCAGCAACCCTGATCATGCATCATTCAAGACTGCCATCTCTAACTTGTAACCACTCCTCTCTGTAACGCCGCAAATGGCATTGAGAGTATTTAAATAAATAAATAAATAAATAAATGGTTAGAAATAGTACACAGTACTGATTCAGACAGTCATTTTTATTAAAAAATTAAAAGAATAACCTAAATTGTGCTTTGCCTGGTTTAAAAAATGCAAATAAATAAGTGTGGTGCATAGATCAGTAGGTTAGGATAGTATATCTGTAAAGTGTAAGACTATTGCGTGGTGCAAAAGCAGCTGAATTTTCACAGGAATATTCATAGACCCTTTCCTCTAAATGTAGGACCACTTAATGCTTGAAAATCATGGGCCACACATGAATAGATCAAAAAACAAATGGTAGCACTCATGGCATAATCACGATGCTGTTATAGATTGCCCCCCTTTTTTTTTTGAAAAAAAAAAAAAACACAAACCTTTGGAGAAAGGGAGGAAGGGTTACAAGAGATCAAGTTAACATATAATAGATGCGATTTTATGTTTTTGGCATGCAGTGCAATTTATTGTAGCCTGGCCTTGAGCGAAATAACTTAAATGTACATGTACACAAAAACACAACACTGAGCTAACCAACTAGTCTGATTGTTTGCATAAAAGTACCAGTGATTGGAATAATGCTTGTACTAAAGTAACTGAGGTTTTGGTTAGTGCTCTAAATTTGCTGCACTGAAAAGGGACTGCACATACTTTGTCCTTTAAATAGTGCTTCTTTCTATCGTATCACTAAGCCAGTGATATTGCAGACATAAACTAATGTTAAAATGTATAGGTGCACAAGCCCCAAAAATATCAGATATCCATACGTACATAGACATGCAATGATATGCTCTATTCCGATAATTAGTACACTTAAAGGGATTTCAAAAGAGGGTTGACTAATATCGTAAGATTTTATGTGACTGACAATGTCATTTATCATCATAGTTGTTGAAAACGTCCGAGAAAATAAATGAGTGCAGTATTATAACGGAAAACTGACCGATGATAGCTGGCCCAAGGTGCGAACCAGTAAACAGCCCAATATCTAAAAAAAACCAGCTGGGCCAGTCTATAACTGGGCACATGGTAACTCTAAATGCAGTATCCCGGGTCCAGAATGTAAGAAGGCGAGGAAAGCCTATTCCTCAAAGATGCTAGCCAGAACAAAGGGAAGCTCATCTCCCGACAGCAAGGTTGATGCATCTTAATCTCAAATAACACTTTTAGTATGAATAAAAGTAATCCGAAAAATTACCATGGCAGATATCCTCCCAAGCACTTCTCCATTTCCAGAGCATAAATGATATTTGGAATGAGCCCTGGGTCCACTATACATTTATTACAGCACTCTTGCTTTACCAGCCTTCTAAGGTTAAAGGGGTATTGGCACAAAAGTTTTGGAGTTTTTTTATAGCAAGATGTTACTAGAATCCTTTCGGTCATATTGCAGCACATCACTTGCTACAGTGCCCAACAGATAATTATAAGTAGTATGCTTATCACCAACCAGTCTTAGCTTCGATTAGAGAGAGCTTCGAGAACGACAGTCCGCCATGTGTAACTAACAGCATCTAGCATGGGAAAGGACTGGAATACAGACAAAATTCTTTAGTACCTGCATTGTCTGTTTGCAATCTTTTGCATGCCATATGTGCTGCAGGGCGTTATTGCTATCGTCATCGTCACCTAGTGGCGAGGACCTTTTTGGAGCTTCCACATGTTCACTGCAGGCACCATCTCACGAGGAACCACGGAATAGTAGCATACAGGTGCGAGCATGGCAAAAGCGCAATGGCAACTATGGCATCATGCTTTAGTTGGGCATCTCTCAGCTCAGCTGCATTGATGGTGTTGCACATTTTTACGGTCGTCTTCAGGTCACTTTACATGATGTCAATGTCAAGAGGTGTGGCATATAGCACTGAAATGGGCTTGTGAACGTGAAAACTCACATAAAATATCTTCCAAGCTGTATTCACTGTTCAGATTTGGTAGAGGATAATCCCAGAGACTGTCTCAGCCGCAAAATTTGGTTTCGGTACCCCTTTACATAGTCCCTTTAAAGCAAGATGTGTATAGTACCTCTCGAAAGCAATTTATCCGCGCGTTACTGGGATTCCAGTGTTTGTAGTCCAGGTGATCACAGAGCCGAGGAAAGGTGAGCAATAGGCAAAGCTGGTTGTAGTCTTCACGAGAGGGGCTGCACTGCTCAAGGGCTCCGAGGCAAGCCACCATTTCCTCCACGCCAAGCTCAGCACTTTGCACCAACCCTGCTTCCGACCTGATGCACAGCAGCTCCAAGAACTTGTGCTTTAGTACCGAGAATCTGGAGAGCAGAAAAAGTGTGCTTGGTGCGCATGCGTCAAATCAACCCTTGATGTGAATTATAGAACCATGAGTGCAGTTAAACATTACATACGCAAACTTATAGTTTGTGAAAGTACAAAATTCCTTATTTTTACACAAGCATGCCAACTACATCTTAGTTTAAGTAATGTTCCTGTTCTAGGTCCTTATAATTTATATTGCAAGCACGTATGTTGTATCTTGCTAATAGGCTTCACTCAGTGGCACTGGAAAAGAAGTATGACCAATGAAAAAAATTCGACATTACATAAAATATGTGAAAGAATAGGGTAAAGCTGAGCAAATGTTACACTCATATAAGAAAATGTCCAAGTATTCAATAATCTTGAATAACAAATTAAATACAAACGAGAGGTATTCAAAATTCGCTTGTTCTTATAATAGTACCTGAAATCACCAACTGTGCAATAAATTTAATAACTGCAGAAGCAAAATGCAAGAAGTTCTAGAGTGAAGCACATTATGTGCCACTCAGGGTGCCAGTCCTTTATGGCAAAAATACTGTGATTCACACTCAAGAATTAGTTCCAAGCATATAGAAATACAAATAAGGCATCTTTTTTTCCCCCTTAATGCTCCAAATAGGCTTTTAGTAATGCATTGCTGTTTGTTGTCAGCCCATGCCCAAACTGCAATACATCTTGAGCGGTATGTAGTTGGGCACAGCTGGAAAACTTATTTCGCGGTTGATTCAAGCATGTATTATGTGCCATCTGTAAAGGACAGACTTCTCTCACTTGCGCTTTGAGTCTTTTACTTTCAGATTAGAATGAACAGAAGACGGGAAAGTGGTTTGAAACTACAAAGGCTTAAACAATGCTTCATAAATTATAAGATGATGACAAACACTACTTTTAGAATGCATTTTTCTCAAGATGCAATTTCGGGCATCTTTTTATTTTGGACATCATGTATTTGGTACTTCTGATGGTCATATTGAGATGAGCGTATTACCCCATATCCTCTAATATATAAAGAGTGCAGTTATCATCTTTAAAGTAAGATACCACTTATAGAATTATTACGGACTTAAAGCAAGCAATTAGTAAGGGCTGAGCACTTGACAATTCTCAAATTAAAATTTTTTTCTTGTGTTATTACATGTTTTCTACACTCTTTCTCAATAGTTGTTCGTATTCTACAGTTTATGCGTAGCAATATGAACCACTAATTACTCATAATTATAAAACGTTAAATGGGCAAAAAAGTCTGTTCAAAAAGAATAATATTTCACAAATTGTCATGGTACAAAACAAAAACTATGCAACTTACTATAATACTGATTACATATTCAAAATAACCATAAAAACTAATATAAGCAGCTAAAATTATATTGCCTTACGCTACTGATTAAATGAAATTTTTTTTTTCCAAATCGCATCTCCCCCTTAACTATCCCAGAAATCCATTACGCTGCCACAAGAGTGCCAGGTCACCTCACATCCTGGCACTCACTTGATGGCACACTGCAGATATATCAGCTACAAGTGTAGGCTCCATGATCCTCTTAACACAACAGCAAGAAACTAGGCTAACGAAATTCCTATGGCTATGTTACAGAAATTGTTTTGAAAGCAAAACCAATTTCTCTCCCAATGAAGTAAGTAGGCTTTGAATAAATGGAAACCTGTTATGTGGAATGGCAACATAAATAGAACAATTGGGATTGGTTTTGTAATAGCCCTGTTAATCTCTCAGTATATTGAACTGCAGTTAAACTGGCCGTATTTTTTTTTTGTTTCTAAAGGTTTCATTGCATGAGAGTTGACCGTACATACAAAGCTTCAAAGGGACATTAAGGAAAAACAATTAGTATTTGCTTATGAATAACTTCCTCTTTCATAACACCAAAAGCACAATTCTCGCCATGCGAAGTCGCTTGGTAAACAGGAAAACACACAAAAAGAAAAAAAAAAAAAACGGAAGGCGATGCGATGCATCTTAAAATTCCTGCACCAACTCTCTGCGATGTCACAGATTTTTAAGGTGTCAACTAGAGTCCACATAGTTCTTAATTGGTAAAAATGAAGTTTCACCGTCTTCCAAGGGGCTCAGAGATGACAGGCGGAGTTTCAGGGAATTTCGTTGAGCAAATGTAGCTATGGCAGGTCAAAAACACTGAAATCTGCAAAGTCCTTCATGCGCCAACATTCGTTTATGAAACTATAAATCGAAACTTCGACCTTCATTTTCTCTTTTTTATGAATATATCTATGATGATGAAACTGATGAAAATAGTATTTTGTAAGAATACCTCACGAGTCTAACTTAACTGACTTTTTTGCTTTAGTGTCAACACAATAAGCTATACTTACCTAAAGCGTTTTTTGTCAAATGCTTCCATGTCCTCAAGTGGTTGAACAAAGTCAAGAGCGTCATCCCACTGGCCATCAAGAATGAGCTGTCGCAAGAACAGTAAGTCATCTGACAGGGCGTCATTAATCACGCCCGACTCTCGCTCCAATGCTAACTGGCTTATACTCAGTTCTCTATTCGCCAAGAACTCCAGCACCAACCGCACGACTTCTGCTTCCTCCAGACACAAATGGGCTGCCATCTCACCACTTCCCTGTCGTAGCCACTGCATAATCAAGAAACAGTTGAATAATTAACTAGCCCATTCACAAGATGACTGACAAGTCCACAGGTTTTAACCCCTTGAAGTGTAACACTGTAAAGCTTCAAGAGGCCCTATAGTGCATGAATTCAAATTACCTTCCAATGCCTACAGCTTTTGAGCGTGCTCCTAAATACATAAGGATTCTTGTATTTTACAACTTTTCAATGCGGTCACAGATGGGAATCAAACCCAAATAATAATCACTAAAAATGAAACACCATCTTACTGAACTACTCCAACATATCCAGAAGACAACTTCACAACAGCTACAAGCCTGTAGGTATGAATTACATCCCACAACACAGCCAACAGTCGATCTGAAGATAATAATAATAATGAAAAACAACTTTTTTCATGAAATACCATGTTTAGAATTTCATCACACTCGCTGGAGCAACTGGCCAAACCTATTCTGAGTAATATTTACAAGTAGGCCCCCTTTTTCTGAATGGTACACTCCCAAATCAGCCCTGTGAAATGTTCTATTCAATAATACCCTAAGTAATTATACATAGTTGTCAGTAAAGAGTAATACAATACAGAGTAGAATTGACACATGAAAACATATCAAAAGTACAGAGACAAAGGGGAAGGAACAAGCTGGCATTACTAGTGGAAAGGGTCCAATGCCAGCATGTTCTAAAGGGGGTGAGGATAAAAGTACCAAAAGAATAAAAATACCCTTCAGAAAATAGCACCGCACAGTACTAAGGTAGCAACTACAGATGTCCTATATGAAAGTATTTAGAAACACAAACACTCCAAGAACATGAACTTCTCAGTAACTTGTACTTTAAGCTGCATACATAAAATCTATCTCCATGCTAATGTTTTAAAGCTCTCAGAACATACTGCATGCTTTACCAGGCTGTTAATTACCAAAACTAAATGTTTTAATGAATATGTTTATTTCTGCATAGCTCTGTGTTGTGAGTCCACTGCACTGTAACTCAGACATGCCTTACAGCCAAGTGTAATCCAACTGTCAATTATGTTGCAGCACATTTTTACAAGTCATTCAACTCCTCTGATTTACCCCTATACAAATTTATATTCATTAGAATATGAACCTACACATGATCTACAGTGCTCCAAAAAAGAAAGAAGCAGAGAATGCTCTCTTTGATACCAACCAATAGCTTGAGATGTCACACCTACTACTACAAAAGTAATATGACAGCTGAGTGCTAGTAGTAGTAGTAGTAGTAGTAGTAGTAGTAGTAGTAGTAGTAGTAGTAGTAGTAGTAGTAGTAGTAGTAGTAGTAGAAGCTGAGAAGTAGAAATACCTTGCCGACATTTGGGGCACAGAATGTTTGCACAATGAAGTACTCCTTACACACTGGTAATACTGCAAGTTTTATTAGGTGTACAACCCTTACAAGAAAGTGGCCCATATATGAAGAATTGTGAAGGCTCTAAATATTCATCATACAGGCATTTGGCTGTAGAATTACGTGTAATGCAAAAAAGTAACAATACAATAAAAAAATATTGCATGCCACGAGAAAAAAAAAACATCGACATGTGACGTGTGTACACTCCATGTGCTTTTTTTTAGGAGCATCACACAGGCAGGTGCACATAGACACATGTACAGAAAGCATAAGTAGTGCTTCAGACCACCCTCTTAATTTATCATATACATCCACGAAAACGTAATTAAAAATGTGTTTCTCACTGGAAGATACGAGCAGTACTGCCAAACTAAACTAGTGTGTAAACAAACCCTTTCTGGCCTCTGTGTTCAAGCTTATACCAGACAGCATGAGAATGCAAGCTGGAAAATTACATATCATTTGCAAGATAAACTGTTACACGAATGGAATAGTTAACAGGAAAATAAAATATTCGTGCTACATCCATATTTCAGGCGCTAAACCCCACATATCAATCATCCGTCAATCAGTGTTTCAGGCATAAGCGTGTGCAGGGTTCCCTATCATGGGGCGGGGGCCTGCCTTAACATGCGCACGTTTATGCTTTGAGGAATACAGAATGCTTGTGTTGCAGCAAATGTACTAGTCGACCGCGGCGGACTCGCGGTGCGGTACATCCACCGCCATTCGCGACCGACCGCTCGGCGAAGCTTCCGAATGCGACGCGTCGCACTCCCCATCCCAAGGTCTGAACGCGCCTGCCGTGAAGAGCAAGGGCCACTTGTGGAATGACAAGAGCGCCGCTGCGAGAAACGCGCGCCATGCGCTTCCGCTCATCTGCGCCAGGAAAGGATAAAAAAAAAATAAAGAGAAAACGAGGGAGAGTGAGAGAGCTGGTCTTGCAACAGCTGCAAATCGCATTGCACAGCCTCGCCGGTCGCCTGTAGGCAGACAGAAATTAGGTGCCTTCTTCCTTTTCCTCATGAACCACTAACAACAGCCTCGCCGGTCCCATCTCGGCGGAGCGAGCAAAACTTTTTCCCCCGAATCGAAGGGGACACAAAGGAAACAGAGGGGCGGTGCAATTAGGCAAGTGCTGTCGCCATGCAGTTTCGCGCAAAAAATTTCGGGAGCGACATTGCCCCTGTTTTCTTTACATGCCCCCGCATGTTACCCTGTTTACAGCACATGCGCGCTTGAACGAACAATATAATAATATGTGGGGTTTAACGTCCGAAAACCACCATATGATTATGAGAGACGCCGTAGTGGGGGGGCTCCGGAAATTTCGACCACCTGGGGTTTCTTAAACGTGCGCCCAAATCTGAGGACACGGGCTACAGCATTTTCGCCTCCACCGAAAATGCAGCCGCCGCAGCCAAGATTCGATCCCGCGGCCTTGAATGAACACTATCCACCTGGCAAATATTTAAGGTAAAAATCATAATGAAATGTGAAGCTATGTACAGCCGATAAAGCCGACGACTAAAACCGGACATTCTGCAAAGTAGCACGTTGTCATAATATGATCAACTCTTTCTTTTTTTTTCTTGTTCTTTTTTAGCGAATATTTTCTTCGTCTTTTTCGCCCAGTTTCGTGCAAGATGGAGGTAGACGACTTAGCGCATCGGGCGCGTTTGTCGCCGAAAGTCATTATTAGCACTTCGAGGCGCACGTATCGTGCTCGTGGGGAATTGCTATTTCAAAAAATGAAATTGCATATACATCTTATCTGCAATTAATATTACATCTTATCTGCAATTAATATACGCTCTCAAGCGCGCATTAATTTTTAGAAGCGTTCGGCCATTCCCCGTGACAATCACGGTAGACTGTACCTGCACATTTATGTGTGTCCCTCAATTGATATTTCACTTAACACAATTGATAGACTAGTTTGTGCAGGACGACAGTTACATTCCCAGGATTAGCATGGATTAACAGTGTAATCCACGATTAACAGCGTAACGGTGGCGTAGCCAAACTTTTTTTCAAGGGGTAGGGTACCAACCATACTTTATGCACGTTCGTGCATGCGTTTGTATGTAAATTGAACCCCCCCCCCCCCTTCATCCGGCTAGGCCAGTGTGTAAAAACTACTGCATAGAAAAATAATTGCACATACATTTTTAAGAGCAAGACGATACTCTCCAGAATGAACTTTTGACAATTAGAATATGTAATATATATTGCTTGAATTAGAGCTTGAAGCCATCTTTAAAAAGACAAAAGAGAAGCAGTGCCGATTTCGAAAACAAACTGAACATTTTAGGCAGTCGTCTTGTGGCGGGAGCGAAATTATCAGGAAAGGCCTTTGCCATTCTAATTCTGGCCATAACGCTAAACACACACACACACACACACACACACACACACACACACACACACACACACACACACACACACATATATATATATATATATATATATAATATATATATATATATATATATATATATATATATATCACATACGTGAGAAATCACAGCGAGAAATTTAGTTATCGTTGTCATTACTTGATAGAGTTGCAATTATGGTTTATTTTAGCACCTTGATTATTTCATTACACATATTCAAAAACGCAGTTGGTTAACTTCAATTGCTTAGTTTTCTTGAACTTTACGGGAAGCAAATCATACGAAACCTGAGTTGACATTCTTTCTTTTAAAAACGCCGAAGTTTTACCAGTAAAGTTAGTGTACTATTTCGAAAGATGACCATTCGCTGGCTTCCCGGCGTTTCAATGCAGCAGCTGTCCTCTAGACTCATGAGAAGACATCCCAGAAGTTTATAAGAAGGAGAGGACCAACACACACACAACAGATCTCCTGGAGGCTTTGGTTAAGAAGTTGCACTGACAGCAAAAGTCCGAGCTGAACTCATTAACGTTATTTTGGGCACATTGCTAAAAAAAATAGAGCTGAAATGGCCTCCAGCTTTTTTAAAGTAGCCCATGATCAAGTACGAAGAAATAGACACTGGACAGCTATCAAATATGTAAAACAAAAAGACGGTACCGGTAATCGCGCTAATGCAGAGCAAAGGGCACGCCCACGCGTGATGCCTACATCTGATAGCACAACTCTCCGCGGATTACCCGGTACGAACAACGAAAAACTTTAATTTAAATTAGTGAGCTACAACCGAGTCGCCACGGCCACCACAGGGCTGTACGACACCACCCCGCACGAGCGGAAGAGCAGGCTGAGCGGCTCAATTATCTCGAGATGGCCCGCTCGGTGGAGGCTAAATATAAACACCGGGACGCGATGTCACATTAAATGAACCAGCTATTCGGCAGTTCTGCGTACCAACGGTGTAGTGCCTGTTAGAAACGTCCATACGCGCAAGCAAGCACTACACACACGGAGACAGGAAGCGAACAATTAAACTGATTCATCTATCCGCTTTCGAAGCTGACAGTCCCTACTGAAACGCGATGCGAGATGCGACGAGTCCATCGTATATCGCTCCGCAGTTTGCACAACAGAAACGCCGAGAATACGTCAGCAACCCATGAACAGATAGTGCTATGCGACGTCTAGGAAAACAAACAGATACGCTAAAATACCAGAGAACACTAAGATCATTTTAAACCGATGTCACCCGCCGGCATGCGGCGAAGACGTTGTTCTTACCTCTGGAGCTTTTCGACGCGATGAGTACTTGCAGTCAACTTCCTACCACGACATTGGGCACCTTCGCATAAAGCACTAAATGTCTAAAAGTGTAGCGACCGCTTAGAATTATACAGAAACACATTAAAAGCGCTACATCGGCGGTCAGCAGAACACTACGAAGCCATCAAATCCTCTAGCCGTGCACCATGGACAGTCGACATGTTTGCTTGCAGACTGCTGCTGCCCCCTGGACCGCAAAAGCGGAAACTGTGGAAGACGAAAAAATTTGAACCCATTTGGCGCGACGACGGTTCGCTGAGCTGCTTACACCGTTCTTCTACAGCACTCTTTGTGCTCAGGCACGTTATTGTAGTAAGTTACTCGGGCAGAAAAGTTGTCCTAAAAATATAAAGAGGTAGCACTAGATAAGCATGCAGCGAATATTTTCCCGCCTTTGTTTTTGTGCTTAGGTTGACAAGCGAAGTGCACGAGACGCTGTCCTTTGGCGCATATCACTACAATCCCCTCGTGTTCTTACAACTGTGCGGTATTTTAGACCGGCACAGATTCAATAAACAATGCGGTTGCTGGTGCGGACCAAATTGGGAGTAATACACTCGGTTCCTAAGAAGAAATGTCAGCTTCGCCCGCAGCAGTCATTGTCTTGAACATTGAGTTAGGAATGTCTTGAATAAATGTTTCATCCAATAGCACTAGAGTCACCTTTGTTACGTCAAGCGCATCTGGACTATTTCAGAGAGTTGGCTTCGGTAGAGACATGCGTTAGTACCACTGTTTTGAGGACCAAAACTTGAACCTTCAAGTAAATTTCTGCTGGGATTATGACATCATGCGCATAATGCAGGTAGCACAACGACGAATTTTTGACTTTTTTTAGGCACTGTATTTCCAATAGGCGAGAAAAATTACTTATGGTTCGAGAGGAAAGCAGCCAGCCTGACTGTCTTCCCAAGGATAAGTGCAGGTGCACCGTGGCGCTGCAGGCGTAGCTTTTTTGGGGGGAGGGGGGACGTAAATGAGTACAAGGGCTATAATTTCTTTCAGGAGGCATAGTGCGAGCGGCGTATCAGCTAGTGCATGGAAGAGTGATCAATAAATTCCAGGGTTGCCACTGATGGCTACTTTTCGACAAGGTGGCGAAATTGAGAGGCCGGTGGGGACCTAAAATTAAGCATAGTGACATGGTGAATTTTTAGCGATTTTCGGCTTAGGCGTCGAGCGAGTTATGCATTCAAACTCAGTGTCCTCAATACAAATGGACGACAAAACTATTTCTACTTTTTGTAGTTTCAAACCCAACAGTACAAGGCGCACTTAACGCTCAATTTAGTATGTCTGTAGTGTTTCTCGTGTGTATATCTATAATTCCCGTAAGGAGGTACATTAGTGCGTCCACCATCAATTTACCAGCAAAATTTAGGTCAGTGAACTGCTTCTCGTGCCGCGAGGTGGTGGTGTTATACTACGTTTTTTAGGTGCTTTTAGAGCTTTAAGCTTTTTTAAAGTTTCTCTTCTGAAGTGGTTAGAGGATGGTAAGGCTGTGTGTTCTGACCACAGCTTCAACTGTCGTGAATAGCTTGTCAACGTCTTCTCTGCTGTAGTACCCCCTAATTTAATTAATTGAGCTTAAATTTGTCTTTAAGATACTTTTTGTGTGGGCCAACAAGTCGGGTTTCTTTGGGTAGACTTCGGAAATCACAGTGAGGCTAATGTATAGCCTAAGCATGACCACCTATAAAGCGTTGTGCGGGCATTGCGATGGTTACGCAATACTTCCGAATTAATTTTCGTTGTTTTGTAATTAAGTTATTTGGTTATCGAATACATAATTTCATGGCAATAAAGAAAAGAGAGCGGGAGAACATAAGGAGAGAGGCAGGGAGGTTAACCAGGGCTGAGCCCTGGTAGTCTACCCTGCACTGGGGAAGGGGAGACGGGGAAAGAAAGTTACAAAGGAGGAGAAAGAAAGGTCACTGACTGGGCCCGACGCGTAACAGTTTCTCACCACAAACGATTAAACAGGCCGGTGTCTTTGAGAAAACGCAACAGCGCTTTCGTTGGCTTTCGGAATCGGGATGGACAGTGCCATGGTCCCAATACTTTCTCGACAGTGAAATAACTTCTGTCCAGTTGATTTAAGACAATGCGCGGGTGAAGCCTCTCGATTGTGTATGCCGGGCAGTAAAATTCTGTAAATATGCAGGAAGGCTACGCACGCTATCCATCTCTTTTTGTGGCGATAGCTTCATCCGGTAGTAGCGATTGCTTCATCCGGTATTCGCTACAACAGAAGCCATCACAAGCTTTTGTTATGAGGTGCTAGCATTCAGGGACGCTGCTAGTGCATACATGCCCTTTTTCAGGGCTCTCATGGTGAAGCAGGTGATATACATATGCTTTGAAAAACGTCAATATATTTTAGGTTTTATCGGTGGTACTGTACTTCTCGAGGCTATACATAATTAAGAACTTTTTATTACTAGGTATGCCACACATAAGCAAACGGGCGACTATTTTGGTGAGATATGAAAAAATGGCCACTTTTGGCGACATTTAGCTCGTTGTTTGGCAAATGTCACGCGAAAGGCAGTGGCAACCCTGATAAAATCTAAGCGCACAAATAGACGGAGACAAAGAAAATCACAGCATAAATTCACGGAGTGAATGATGATGCGTGGGTTGAAGCGTCTGTCTTTCTGTCTGCCCATCCACCCGTCTGTCCGTGTCTGTCTGTCCATTTGTCTGTTTGTCTGTCCGTCTATCTCTCTGTGTCCGTCTGTTAACTATACCAAATTAACACCCTCTTAAAATTATTCATACCTTTTCACATCCCCCTTTTTCCGCGTGATGCGTGATGACAAAGGCCCGACAGAAAAACTGTAAAAACGTCTGGTGACCTGCAGTCTGCCTGCACGTGTTTTCTCGGTGTGCTTGCCCAGGCAAGTCAGTGCGTGTGCGTCAAGCTGCTGCACAGTTTGTGTTCTTCATGCCTTGTGCAATTTGTTGTTCTTCGTGTCCCTGTGAGTATTTTTTTTTTTGGCACACACGTGTTAATCCACGATATGTCACGTTTGGTGCGAATCGCATAGCATCGCAACGACTGCAAGTTCATGCAACATGGGCCGGTGTTGTGTTCCTCAGGGCCGCGGAAACTATGATAATCGACCAAAAGCACGCTTGTACTCATTCCAAAGTGATGACGCTAAAAAAAAGAGAAAAAATAGTCACAGCTTTGGCGCAAAGGCGAAGCAATGAACGCGATGGCAACAAATTGGAAGGTCACGCGCAGAAGGGTAAGCAGATCAAAACGTGCCCCGCGTTTCTCACACACAAATGACGCACGAAACGTACTCGCACAGGTATAGATGAACGTGAATAAGCGTCCCAGTTCTTGCTTCGATATGTCTGAAAAGCGCGCGCTTTCGCAAACGGAGACTGTGCAACAATTGCAGTGATCTTTGCGCACTCGGTAACTACAACAGAATCGTTTCGGTGAAAGCCCAAAGCCAGCCAATACGTACGGTCTTCCCCACCGCGAGATAAAGATGTGCGAGTGAGTGCCCACACCCTTCGTCTCCGCGAGGCAGATTACGCGTCGGAAATGAGAGCGCGCACCGCCGCGTCGTGACGATGTGGCGATGTGCGCTCGTTGCGCCATTTTGTAGGTAATACTGTAAACACGTTAGTTACCGCCGAGATGCCCGTCACCAGCTGTAAGTGGTAGATATAAATAGCTTGTCGTTTGAACGTTGAAGGAAGTGCATTTGTGAAATTCACAGCAATTAAAGAAATACATAAAAGAGCACCAAGGAGTGTCCATGTATCTTTTTGTAGAGCACACTATTTTCTCCGATACCTTATGCAAATTTCTTAGCTGCAATTTTTGCATTTTTGATAACTAATCCTAAAGCTATACACACTAGCGTAACGCTGGTTCATGGTGCCACTGCAGTGCCACATATGGTTACTAATATTTACGCAACCTTTGCCTATTTCGCATCGACTGGTCTTGCAGTGACTGATTGCAAAAATAAAAAGAAACATCTATGATGTAGGAAATTAACGTTCCACTCTGCAAGAGACATTTTGAAACTCATACAGTGTCCACATCATCCTCGCGAGGTGATGACGCACTGGAGTTACCAGTATGCAGGAGAGGTACCCGCCCTATAGGTGGGTGCTTATGGGTATAGTATAGCTAATGCCACTGCACGAGTCTCTTCATATTGTTACGTGGAAAATAACAGTAGTCAGTACGCAGCCACAACGCAGCTCACCGATGATGATGATGATGATGCCTCCACTATGGCTCTTGCCCACTCAGGGGGATTGGCCAAGAATTGAGGATATGAAATTTAAAGCCTTTCGAATGAAACCTAATCCTAACAGGAGGAGGATAAAACACCCGTAAATACAGAAAAAGTGCAATATTTTTTTTGCTATTTCGACCAGACAGACTAATATATATCTCGAATTGAAATTGAAGTAATTTCGAACACGTTTAAAATTGATGTTTAGAATTTGCCTAATAATATTATAATAACAAATGTGCAAATTGGAATTTAGAGGCGCATTCGTTTTGTTTCACCTAGATAGCTGCAAACGGCATTAAAGGCATTGCTGTGGCTGTAGCCCAGAACCGAAGCACCAAAGGAGAGTATATACTCAATGGTGAAGGGCAGCCCACGGTTAGCAAATGGGATGGCAAGGAGACGTTTTCTGAATAGACTGTAACGGCGTCATGACAAAAAATAATGGTCTATTGATTCCAGATCTGTACAAAAGCTGCATAGGGGAGATATTCCCAGCCCAGCCCTGTGTGAATATAAATTCAAAGGTGGCACACGACATCGCAGTCTTGTTAGCATGACTTCCAGTTGTCTAGTATGACACCAGCCGGATTTCCATCGATATTTCAAATGTCTAAATTCAGTGCACGGTGTTACTGATTCTATGGCATCAGCCCTGAGTGCAAATTTTCGATAGCTTATAGCCGTTAAACTGGGCAGCACCGGAAGCACAGAAAGTATTGGACCATTTAATGCCATTGGAGCTAATGAGTCCGCCATTTCATTTAACTCTAACCAGCAATGTCCAGGTACCCATAATAATTTTAAGAGTAGCTCACCGACAACGTCCACTTCTTCACTCTCAGTCTGAGGCACTTTACTTGGGTATGTCCCACTATGC